TTTGGGGGGCGCGGTGAGAGGCCCTTACCTGGGCTGTGAGCTTCTCTTTCACGTCCACACTGTAGCCCAGGCTCTCAAGCAGCCCCTTCATCCCTTTGACGTCCAGGTCAGCCCCACCCCTTGGAGCGAGATGGTCAAACTCCGTATTGCATATGATGAGAGCCAGGCGAGAGCGACCGGCTGTCTTCCCCTTTATGGGGTAGATCTGCAGGAGACGGATGTGTAGAAGATTTTACTTAGCTGGGTCTATTTTGATAACACATTCATTCCACAGTGTTGCTTTATTAAGGCCTCATACAGCTGCCCTCTCCCCTAACTTCTACTACAGGACTCTGCCTCCTCTCTCTGAAGAGCCCAGAGCAAGACATATTTGAAAAGTTTACACAAGAATTTTGGAAAAACTAGAATAATTTCTACCCACCCTTCTCCCCTTTCTTCACCCAGTCAAATCTTTCTTAGCATTCAAAGTTCATATCAAAGGCTCTAGTAAAAATGAATATACCAAAGACCTTTGCCTTTGGTAGCCTTGTGATTTGGGTACTCTTTTTTATCATATTGACTCATAATTTTTTGCAACCTTTAATTATATTTTTAATGTATATTTCATGTTCAGGCCTTTTAACTAGAGTAGCAGCAATTACCATGCAGCCATGCCCTCTTACAAATATTTGGATTCTATGGTTACAGTTGAAACTGTCATAAACCCCAACTAGGCATGTGGATAAACAAATGAACAAAATGAGGCATCTGCATTTCATCATGGTGTTTAGACCACGTTGGAATCTGGGTGGGGGCACATGACCTCCTCCTCACATCTGTGAAGAAATTACCCCAATCTTCCCCACCAGCTGCTTAGTGATTTAAGGACGTGTGCATTTAGTGACAGCAGCTGGCGCTCTCTTCCTCCCTGCCATGCACGGAGCACAGCACCTCTGCAGCCCGCTCTCTGCTCAGTCTCAGGAAATCTTCGTGAGGACAGAGCTTGAGGGTATCTGTAGGTTCTGCTGCCTCAGGTGGTCCAGCCTTCATTTCTGGAGCAGCTGCAGGATATATCACATTATAAAATTGTGATTTCTGTCACGGTGACCCAATTTATCAGAAGATGGAGAGAGAGTAAACTCCTAAGAAGAAGATTGTTTTGCATGTGGGGTTACACCTGGCTCTCAGGTAAGGAGACGCACTGGTAGGGGGAAACTGGAGAGAAGGCCCTGACTGAGAAAGCTGATAATAGAGTCTGATAATTCTAGGGAAAACAGGCTCAGCGCCTGTAGCTCAGGCAGTCAAGGCACCAGCCACATACAGCAGAGCTGGAGGGTTCGAATCCAGCCATGGCCTGCCAAACAACAATGACAACTACAACCAAAAAATAGCTGGGCATTGTGGCGGGTGCCTGTAGTCCCAGCTACTTGAGAGGCTGAGGCAAGAGAATCACTTAAGCCCAGAAGTTGGAGGTTGTGAGCTATGATGCCATGGCACTCCATCCAGGGTGAGCTTGAGGCTCTGTCTCAAAAAAAAAAAAAATTCTGGGGAAAACACCTTGATAACTTGGGAGTCAACTCTGGCCTTTTCATAGTCAGGAAAAACAGTTTGACTTTTCCAATGGTGCTATTCTAGGTTACTCATCCATCACATAGACCTTTTATTGTTTCTGAGCAAGAATATGCTGAATAAATATTTATCAGAGTGCTCTCTATTAGAAAGATAATGTGAATTCCATAGGCAATATTAACTTTCCTAATATCCACATGAAAAGTAAAAATGAACAGGTGAAATGAATTTTAATTACATTTTATTTAATACAATATACCCCAAACATTATCTCAACATGAGTTACTAGCCAAGATTCCCATATTTAATAGCCATTTGTGGGTAGTAGTTATGACACTAGAATGATAATCCCCTCTAATCCACACATCACACACAGACACATCCATACACTACAACACTTACCAGAATCTTGAATCTTATACAATCTAGGTATTATCTTTTTAGAACCTTAAACTGAATTCTTATCCTTTCTAAAGAAAATGGGCTTTAATTATGTCTCACCAAATAGTAAAATACTTCATGGAGAAGTGGTCTCTAGAACAACAGAGTTGTATCTAGGATCAAAGGGACGCTTTCTTTGCTGAGGTTCTCATATAACTCTGGATGTCTTGCCTTTAAAGGGCTGAATAACTGGCACTAATTTTTTAATCCATGTTTAATAATGCAAGTAATAATACATTTGTTGTGGAGAAACTTGTTTCTCTTTCTCATCTATCTCCTAGAGAAATGTAACATCATCTGACTTTGCTCAACCCCATTCCACTGTGATTGTGCAAGAGACTGAGAAATTCCAGAACCCTCCCTACAGAAGAAAGGAAAAGGAATTTATAAACAGAAATTAGAAGTTTACCAAATCTTTAACAAGGTTTCTTGCCATGATAGACATGGACAGCCATATTATTTCTGTTCAGTTACATGAGATGACTCAGATATTCTCAAGTTAATTTTATTTCAATGAGAAAAGCAAAATTATCTGGTCTAAAATTTTTCAGATTTTTTTTTCCTTTTTTTCTATTTCATTCACTTGTTTTCATTAGTTATTTGATAATACTTTTAAATAAAAGTCTTTCTAAAAAGTACTATGACAACCTAATGTTCAGAGATGCACCAACTTATAAGAGCATGTAAGGGTATTAAATGTTCTGAGCATTTCTTTTTATAGATTACACAGTGACACATGATTTTCCTTCCCATTCCAGAAAATTCTGCCAACATGGAGGCATCTAGGGCCCTAGGGTTTTCCTTGGACAAATGTTTTTTTTTTATCCAAAGTTTCCAATTTGTTTAAAAGTTTAAAGAACTTTCTAACAGAATCTCCTGATGTTCAGGAGATGTTCATGTAAATGCCTGTGTGTGTATGTCTATGTAATTCTCAAGCAAAACAAGGCATTAGATTCTCTACCTCATATCAACAGTAAAATTACCAATAAAACAGATTATTTCATCACAAAATAGTAAATATTATAGTTTAGCCCACTGACTAAAGGGAGATCCTATCAGCCTGGTGGTGCAAGAGAAGGATATGAGGAAAGTAACAGTTTAGATATTTTAATTTCTGAGTCTAACCTGTTATGCAATGAAATGCCTGGAAATTGATACATAAAGGAAAGGACTAACATAGGGTAAGACAAAGCCAGCTACTAAGGCAGGTAGAGATTCAGGTAGTTATCTCTGAATTCAATAGCATCACTTGGCACATAGTGTGTGTGTGTGTGTTTTACAAGAAGCAAAGAAACAAATAGCTTGGCTCTTCCTATTCTCCAGTCCGTACTATCCATACTATGCTGGAAAACCTCAGAAGTATATCCATGGCAGAGGCACAGCCAGGGCTTTTGCCTACTCTAATAACCCAGCCCACCTGCTTTCCAGGCCTCTTCAGAGGTTCCCCAATTGTATTTTTGTTACTCACAGAAATAGGTAAGAACTAGAAAAGTTTAAATCTTAGCATCTACATAATAATTATAACAACTAATATTTATTGCATACATATACTTCATTTGCTTATTTGTCCTGTATTAATTAGGTATCTCCTATGTGCCTGGCACCCTTTTAATTGTTATTCATTGGTGGAAAAAGCAGTTGCATTCTGGTGGGAGGTAATTAGCAGGTATTAGTTCTGTTTATTGAGGTAGAAAAGGTATAAAAGTGGAACAGACTTGGTCAGGGGAAGAGGTATTTAATTTTACATACGTTAGTTTTCTGAAGCTAGTGGAACATTCAAGCAGAAATATTGTCTATGCAGCTAGAGCTAAACGGGTCTGGAGCTAGAAGGCAGCTTTCTGGATGAGGGCAGGTACCTCGGGGTGGCTAGCACATTTCTAGCCTGACATAGTTTTATGAGGAAGCACTTTAATTTTCTCCATCTCTAAGACTGATAACTAAGGAGCAAGAAAGGTTAAGGAAATTGCACAATCTCACATCATTCACAAGTGACAGAATTTACGCTAAGGTCTCGGTATCCCTTCCTACATAGATTCTGCCATTAACTATTTCTATGAAAAGTTTGTAGACAAGGACTCAGCATTTTAGCTAATTGGAAGGTGGATCCCACTCTACAAAAGACGAGGTGACGTCTAAAGGATACGCTTCATGAAAATGATACTTCAGTAAAGGAAAGGTGGGGAGGACAGAGAACACCACCTGAGCTTGGAGTTAAATAGATCCTAGGAAATTCGAGGTATCCATTAGAAATGACTCTTACCTTCCAGGCTGCTGGCCATTTGGTCCGTAGTAAGGAAGGGCTGGATAACCACTTCTTCTACCTCATGGTTCTCCACAGTGTTTACCAAGACCCAGGTCTTGTCTTCAGTTTTGGTATCACAATTATTTTTCTTTTCTGCTTCCTTTGATTTCTCGTCTATTTTTTTTGACATGTTATGCATAATATCTTTGCTCAGGTACTCCAAAATCTTAAGTGGATTTTTGTTTGTGCAGTTGTCCTCTGTCAAAAGGAGAAGGACTCCAGCTATGG